AAAAAGTAGAACTTTCCGACGAGAATATTAGTTCCAGTGCCAAAAAATTGAAGACTGATCGTGAGACATCCGCACCAGAAGATTCAAACATCGGGTATCGAATTTTGAATTTTCTGACAGTATTTTCTGCCTTATGGGAATGTGTAAAATGCAAAAAGTGTAATAGTGATGTTCGATTCTCATATAATAGAAAGCACTCGAGGGCTCGGTTTTAAAATTGTAGTTTCGTGTTCATCGTGCAAACCGACTTTCATTCCTTCGTGCCCGTACATCAAGACAACTTACGAAATAAATACACGATTCCTTTTTGTTATGCGTTTATTGGGGATTGGTTTGCGTGGAGCTATGAAGACGAAACTCGCATAGCGAAAGCCGAGCTGCAAGCGCAGGAACAGACGAAAGAAGGTCGAATACGGCGCCGACAACAAAATTTAGAAGACATGAACATTCCGTCGACCGTAGAAGACTTACACTATGGGCCTGGTATCGATAGGGTTGCCAGGTTCAAAAGTGTAAATTACCGAGCATTTCGTTTTTGGAAACAAAATCGAACCGGACAAAACCGGACATAAACAATAATCATAAAATTAGATTAAATACAAAATTTTGTAAGAAATTATAATAATTACAATTGTTTTCCAAACAATTTTGAAAACAGAGTTGGTTAAATAAAATAAAAAATAAACTACTATATATCATTTAATATCAGACATTTTATTTTTAAATATAAAATTATGTTATATAATATTATACCGCGTCTCCTGATATTATATATATATAACATTTAACATTTGTTATACCATGTTTTATTTTATTACAAAATATATTACTACCTTTAACATATGTTATAAACATTTGTTAAAACATTTAATACGTTTAACATATTAAAAAATCTTTCACATTTGTTAAAACAAAACTTTGAACAAAAATAAAAATATTAAGTAAAACAAGTACAACCACGAAAAACAAAATTAGTGATACGAATCTTGTACTTTTTAAATTATAGTTTGAGTTCATTTCGAGTTGTATTTCTCCGTATTTCTTACTGCTTTCAATAAATTAGGTTTAGATTTAGCATAATTTATGAATTCACACATTACATGACATATCAAAATTAATCACAGTAAATAATTCAGCTTTGATCAATTCCACTTCCATTCTATTTCTTAACTTTGTCCACACTTGTCCCATTAAGCTGAACACTCTTTCTGGGAAAGTATTACTCGTTGGTATTGAGAGTACAGCCTGAACTATTTTTAGTATAT